TAATAATAGTGATTAGCAGATTAACTGATAACAAAGTAATTATTGGTTGCAGACCCTTTTATTAAAAATGAATAAATTGGAAAAGTGTTGCACTAACTCACTGGTAAATAACCACTAACTCCCTCACTGTGTTCCTGAAACCAGACCAGTGGAGGCAGGTATCAGCGAACTCAGTGTAGAATTACTAATCCCACTCTCTGCTGCCTGTTGTAGCCACATGCATCCTGTTGAGGAAAGTGACACTCTGAGTGCAGCAAAATAACGGAAAGCATTTCAAGTGGTGACTTTGTGCTGTCCCACTGAGCAGATGGCCACTCCCCTGGGCCCAATCTAGAGCCTACGAATCACCAAGCTGCAGAGCCAAGATGAATTGAGTGTATGAAGTGAAGAGCAGAAGGATGATTGAAAGAATAGATTGACAATGAGCTGCTGTAATTTAAGTGGTCAACAAATAAGTTAAATCTGCCCTTTTCTTCTGCTTATTAATTCCCATCACACTGTAAATCAAGTGACTCTTTTTTAATACAACACATAATCCAAAAGTAATCCCTCAGTAACCAAGTAACCAAGCTTGTAACATATAATCGGATTTGAAAAAGAAAAAACCTGCATTATTACCATGTTGTTATTCTGCATGTGTTGGTTTTTATCCCGACTAGCCCTAATACTGTGTGTGTTTCTGTCTGTTTATGTGTGTGTTTGATTCTGTTTGCAGATTGTACTTGTGCACATTCACCCTGGCAGTGTCGGGTGGTGCCGTCTTCCTACTGCCTTTCTCAATCATTAGTAGCGAGATCCTCCTCTCCTTCCCCAAAAACTATTACATTGAGTGGCTCAATGGCTCCCTCATCCATGGTCAGTAGATCACACAGCGTCTTTTTAGTTTAATTCACTAATTTTCTTTCACTTTATTTTCACTCATGATGTATAACGTAACATTCATTGGAGTCATAATTAACTTGATACACTTTTATCAAATTCAGTAGATTTTTGGGATTGTACAAATTGTTTTAAATTAAATGTTACGTGTAAATCCTAACCCTAATGTCTGTTTTGCTGTTGTATGTAAATGTATACTAATTATATATTAAAACTGATAATAATAGATACAACTTATTATAGTTACGCTTATAATGGATAAGTGCATATTTGCAGTTCAAAGCTTGAGGTTTTCTCAGTATATGTAATAATGTTGATTAATAATAATACATTAAAGTAATTTGGGAAATCAACTGAAACACTGCTTTTGGATAAATAATAAGGAAATGTCTGGCAACCCATGAATTTTACACTTATTATTTGATCTTTAATATATGCTGGTACTACCAGCCTGGTAGATGGACAAAGCCAGTTAATTGTTAACCTCATTTAAACCACAAGTTACAAATAAATCTGTTTCATTTAAAGTATCACAATTTATCAGATCATGTTATTTCTTTAGTGTCACAATCACCCATGCAGATTAAAAGTATCACCACCAGTGCTATTAAGACTGTTGGGTGTTCCAATTGCCACCAGGGGGCATTAGAGACTTATACATTGCAAGAGACACTTGCCAGACTCACTTCACAACTGCTGTGTAATATAATATTCAGGGGAAAACACTCATGTCACATTAAAAATAAATATGGATTTTTGATGTATAATGTGTGGATATGACTGTATGCATAAACACACATGTCTGCTTTATGCAGGTCTGTGGAATCTGGTGTCACTGTTCTCCAACCTCTGCCTCTTCGTCCTGATGCCATTCGCTTATTTCTTCCTGGAGTCTGAGGGATTTGCAGGATCGAAAAAGGTAAATTGTCTTATCTGTAATATTTATATCTATCGTTCTTACATTTGTTTATTTCCTTTTAAGTGATGCACGGTTACCAACAACAACAAACTATAAGAGACTGCAAACTGTAAGCAAATGTAAGGTCTGAAAAATTTGTATTAGTTTTTCTGCCTCTGTATTCGTATGCTTTGCTATTCAAGCAAACGTTTCCCTGTCAGCAGCAGCAGGTGCCTAGTTGTTGCCCTCTCCCTGACTCATGCCACTGACCGTAACTGCCACCGCAGAAAGCTCATTAACCATGAAAGTCTGAATCTGGTCTTTGCCCAGCACCACATCCTGACAAACCCTTCCAATAAGGCCGTAGACTGCAAACGCTTCAACACTGCTGCATCGGCCCCACTGATTTAAAGCCTGATTCCTTGTCACCCCCTCCCCAGCCCCCTAAAATAAAACTTCAAAAGGACAGGCTAATAATCGAGTTGTAAGGCTCAGCGAACTTCCTCGTTTAATTGATTACCCCCCAAAAAAAGAGGCTGGGGGCTCGTGTTCCAAAAGTCCATAAAGTCGCAGCAACATGACAGCACAATAGAGCCTCGCAAAATGGAGGGGGAAAGATTTACTTTTAATACACCTCTATCCTGTGTCACAGTTTGAAACCTCTCTGGTTTATGTCCCTCCTGGCAAAAGCACATAAAAATTAGTCTGTACTGTAGTGTATAGGCAGTTCTTTTCTTCCTCAGCTCCACTAATTTGTTTCGGTTGGATTTCTTCAACAGAGGGCAGGCCCTGATGTGTAGGCAGCAAGATGAGGGCCTCTTTCACATTTCTCGTTTTTGTTCCTTTTTTTAAAAAAATTTTATTTTAGTGAGACTGTTTCTTGCTTCTGCTCTTCCATAAATTTTCTCAGAAGAATCACTGTTCAATGTGAGCTGCACATCCAGATATATATTACGTGTGTGCTGAAGAAGGGTCGGAGGTGGCACCATGTTGCACCTAAAAAAGCCTGAGCTGCCTGCAGAGTCAATCATGCAGGCGATGCCGAGGAGAATGTAAAACACAGATTTTTATAATGTGATATTATCCCTCTCCCCAATAACAGCATTAGACCACAATGCCGTAAGTTTTAATGTGGTATTTTAACCTCCTGGGCTAATGTTATAGCGCTACGAGGTCTTTTTGACTGCGGAAATGAAGTGAATGATGAATTTCACTACTAACGTTGTAAGTCAGGCTTTTCATGTGGCTGTGTTTATGTTTGACGATGTACTAAAAGACGCCACCAGAATAAAGATGGAAATGTGGATGTTTTTTTTTTTTTGAATGTTAACTGTTCAGCTCTTCAGAGGCTCTGTCACCTGAATGATTAATAGTTTGCCAAATTGTCCAAATTGTGGATGAATCGGAGTGACTTAGGGCTTTGATGTCAGATGTTATGATCTAGCTTTATTTGTTGCTGTAAAATGTCTCCATTTTTACTGCTGTGTTCTGAAATCTTTGCAGAAGAGCTGCATCACTGAGGCCACAAGGTCCCCGTGTAGTTCAGGGTTTGAGGTTCTGATCAGGTTTAACAATCCTCTTTGCTGTGGAGTATTTTTTGCCTTTAAATCCTACATATAAGCAGTATTCTACATGCAGAACCTCTTGTTGTGTTTTTAGTAAATTGTAATGGATAAAAATGTGTCCCACTATAGCATTTCTGTCACTTATCTGTTCTGTTGTCTCTGGGCCGCCAGTAGATGGCATTATATTGATGGGTGCCATCTGTGTTATTGAGAAGACCAGTGTGTTCTGATCATCTCTTTACAAAGACTATGACATCAGCAGAAGCTTTTTTCACTGAGAATGTAAAGCAAGCCACTTAAATGATCTTTATAATTAAATAAGACATGTATCATCTTTTAAACCTGTATTTTATAAGAAACAGTGAGATGACAGTCACAAAAAGTTAATTTATTTACAAACACACTATTTATTATCTCTAGCTAACCTATTGTAAAATGATCCTGATCATGTTTTAATGTCCTTTTAGTTTGATCCCAGACGTAGATCTTTGCGTGAAGAAACCATGTGAATTACGTAAAGTATGCGTTTCAGTGAATAGTCTCTTGGTCTTACCCACAGTATTGAAATGTGTTTGATCCTGAAACGAGTTGGAACGAGTCTGACCCCCTGACTGACCCAGCGAAGGGCCAACAGGTTTCATCTGGTAGTTAAAGAAACTCCTCATCAATCTCATCCTAAGCCCTAACCCGCCGATGATGAGAAGTGTGTTTATTGTGGAGGGAGAGGAGGGGGGGAGGAGAGGGGAGAGAGAGAGGGAGAGAAAACGTCTCGCCAAGCAAACCCGCGTGGTGTTACTAAGATACTCGTCTTTGTTGGAGCTCCACAATGGGGGCCTGGATATTTATTTCAAATCTCCTGCACATGCAGACATTTTTCCCAGGCCTTCTTTCGGGCAGGGCCAGCCGGAGAATATAAAGTGGTGTTTACATACCTTCCTTTAAGGTCACAATGTCTCCCTAAAGCTGCCTGTTACAATGTTCGTTTCCATGGCAACATATTAGTTCGAGCTGGGAATTTAAAAAAGAACAAGCGAGTTGCTCAGGATTTCTACCCTCCTCTCGTGACTCAGTTTTTCTAAACTAAGGAATGAGTTCTGAAGCTGGACTGATTCTGCACCAGGTTCTTAGTCTTCTTTGCTGAATTTTATGAAAACGGGGGCTCTCTGCTTGTCTTCTATCATACACACATACGCTTTAAGAAGGGTAGAGGATTATGTAGGTGGCCGCTAACTTTTCTGTTGTCGGAACATTTCGTGGTCATTGTAGGAAAGCAGATAAAACTTAACTGAAAATACAGAGCAGCCTTTTCAAAGTTTCCCTTCATATCACAATATTACTGAAAGCTGCCCCCTCCCCACACCCCAACGGTTTGAACAATACGACGTGATGCCGATCATTTTCCATGCTCTCGTGCCATTGGTGCTTATTAAGTCTTATTAAGAGTCTTTAGAAGTTCATTCTGCAGCTTTACAGGGGAGTGTCCCTCTCCTCTGCTTTCTGTCTTTGACACGGTCATTGCGCTGCTGCAGCCGACTGGTTGAAGGATACACTAATAAGGTCCTGGGCATCTGGCATGTCTTTAGCAAAGAGGGCAGCCCCTGCCCCCCTCCCTCGCTTATTAGATTCTCTGCCCTTGTTCCACACGTCCATGACGGTGAGCAGAAGGATGGGCCGCGGGATGATCTCTGCCACCGCCTGCTGACCTGCTAAGGATTGATGGCAGCAACAAGGAAGCTCCCGCACCACCTAACTCTTCCTTTGTCTGTTTTTTTATGAGTCCTTCTCATCCAACACAACCTTCCCAAAGTATCACCCCTGACTCTGTATCCCAGATTGTTCTTTTGTTTTTCTGCAGCACAAAGCTTGTGAACTGTTTCCAAGCCCTCTGTGGCTTTGTGTAATTGGGTGGATTTGGAGGTTGATGTATTTGGCTGCTCGTGTGTCTAGCTTTCGATCTACGTGTGTGTCGGAGCAGTGTGAATTCATGCATGTTTGTTTGTTTGCTTGTGCATATGAAGCGGTTACTTTCCTCTCTGGCCACCACATGCATTTCTTGGAAGTCTCTCCAGTCTTGTACAACATAGCTGCAGTTAACCAGGCCCTCACTCGATGTCAGTGTGAGGATCGGGGGATGCTGAATATTTCAGAGCTGCTATATTTAGAGGTAGTTACACATTTAGAATGGCAAGAATAGAAACTTTCAGCAGGCGCTCTCAATGCCAAAGCACAGGTCGTTTTTCTTTTCTTTTTTTCTCTCTTGTTCTTCATCAGTTGACAGTTTTATCTTTGATCAATGATGATGGCTCCCTAGGATTTTTTTATTTTTAAACCATCATTTATTTCAAAGCTTACAATCGGTCTTCTTTACCTTTGTGATGAGGAACAAATGATGCTAGAATAGATGAGGATAGACAGGAATTTGAATGTGCAATGTCATGCATGTGGATAGATGAGTGAAACCAATCAGGCCTCTCAGAGCAGTGTCCTCTTTCTCTCGTGCAGTCAAATCATGTCTGACACTGAGGATTGTTCCTCCAGCAAGGCAGGAACCAGGGGTGATAGTAAGGGAGGTGACAAGCATTGCCTTTGCCCTAAATGATCTGAATGGGTAATGATTTGAGTCTTATAAATGATTGAGAGACCTATCTAAAGGGAATACACCTTCAGCATGGCATGGGCAGCCTGTTAAGGTGGACCAGTGCACATGAGCAGAGGCACGTCCTGCCTATGACTTCTGCTCATCCCGACGCATCCTTAAGAGAGCGCGTGTGGGATGTGGCTGAAGTCCCTGAAAGCATTCCTCTCTCACCTCTCTTACCTCAGGGGAACGAGATGCGCTCAGCCGTTGACTCCTCTCCTCCATCAGTCTCTCTCTGTTGTTCTCTCCTCCTTTATTTCTCTCTATTGCTCTCCATCCCTCTTTTCTAATCCAGGGGTGTTGAGTGTTTTCCCCACTGCCCAGTTGAGTCGGGATGTGAGATGGTTGATCGCTGCATCCATCTGAAGAATGTGAACAAAAAAAAGAGCATTAGGCGCTCAGAAACATTCATCTCCACGTCCCATTTGAGGGTTTATTTTTAGCATATTGATCCTCATTGTTATTGGAATATTGGCACTTATTCCTACGTTGGTCCCTTAAGATATGTCGTCACTGTAATAAATACTGTTGTATTTTAAAGCTGATTACATTCTGAATATTTGATTCTATAGGCCTCATTTACCTGCTCTAACGTTACCTGTCGAGTGGCTGCAGTGTCCACATTGGCCACACTGGGGCACTCCAGACCCTGCCCACTTCTCTGTTGTGCTAGAAAATTCTACCCTCACTCACTGAGACTTTTCCATAACCGAGAGGGATGGCAAATCATCATTGACAGCATAATGATGCTAAGGGGATTTTTAACCCCTGTCGATATATGGAATAATCTGAAATTAACATATCAATGTACAAAGTACGGACTGATAGGGACGGCGATATTGTGGAGACACTCAATTTATCAAATGTGTCTTTTACCCAAGGATTTGTCAGAGAGGTGTTTGTAAGCCGCCCAACGTTGACCCACATTGTAATACAAACAATGTGCATTTAATCTGCAGGATTAAACCCATTTCCATTCTGTTAAGTGGCGCCGTGATTAACAGGGGCAACTTTCAAACAGACCCCCCTTCATGTACCTGTTGGCAAATACTGAACAGCAACCGCAAAGACATTATGTTAGCGGGTAACAAATTGCTCACATGTACCTAATTTAAGCAGCACTCCAAAAGCAGCGCGCCCTTGTTAGCTGTGCCTGGTTGCCAACCTGACATGTGTATGAGAACACCTATCTATCTTACTCTGCTAGACAGTTCGGCTCTCCAGCAGGGCGGGAAATGGAAACTGTGTGAACAGGTAGAGGACGGACTTTATTAACCACTCAGCAGTTTGTGACCCGGAAAACCCAAATTACCCCAAAACCCTCTCGTCTGCACGGCCTGGGACACGACCATGGTGCTAAAGGAGCTCCTAATCAGCCCCAGATGGGAGGCCTGCTCTTGATCGCAGACAGTAGCTGACCCAGCCAGGCTTTATGCTCCTTACGGCACCCCCTCCTCTTTTTTTAATTTCACCTCTGCGACCACAGGCCCTATTAGACCTACTTTATAGACCTCAATATGTGTATTAAAGAGCTGTTTTACAGAGAAATCCATGGGAGCGTTTATGTCATGTTTGTGTGCCGTGAATGGAAATGATGCTGTTTAGTATGAGAGAGGAGGGATGGAGTGAGGAGGGAGATGTCTCGTAAAAGGAATCTTGCTTGGTGTTTATAAATTGAATATCAAACCATATAAAACCACCTTCCAGCTCAGAACCATTTGTGTGATTAATGATTTAGTTTTCAATGAAACCCTGTGTTGTGAAACTGATTTAAACTGTACAATCCAGTCTCAATATGGTTCTTTTTTATTGTCAGGGCATCAAGGCACGTATTCTTGAGACCTTTGTGATGCTCTTCCTGCTGGCTTTACTCATCCTGGGTATAGTGTGGGTGGCATCGGCACTCATTGACAATGATGCAGCCAGTATGGAGTCACTCTATGGTATGTTTTTTAAAGCTCTCTCATTCATGTGTGCACGTATATGTCAAGGTCTCTGCATTATCCCTGGAGAAATACAAAAAACGTCAAAAAACGCCCCGTTTTGTAATGTTAAAGAAAGTGACAAATAATTCCCCTTTACCAAATCTGATCCAAAAGTTAATGGCCCATAACCCAACCTTCCACCAAGTTTCAATAACATTGGTTCAGTGGTTTTTGCATTATCCTGCTAATAGAAAAACAGACAAATAGAAATGGAAACAACACCCCCTTCACGGAGGGGTAAAAAAATGTAAATGATGGTTTTACTTGGAGTTGCATGCTGGAACAATTTCTCACATAGTTCACAATGTTGACGTATCATTCTCATAGTGTACATTTTATTTAATCAATGTATTTTTGTCTTCAGATCTTTGGGAATTCTACCTTCCATACCTGTACTCCTGCATATCTCTAATGGGAGGAATGCTTTTACTCAGTAAGTAACTTAATCACGCACACACTGAAGCAAAGAGAATATCAGAGCTGTTCTGGTGTTTAGTTATCATCAGTGAGTTCCCTTTATTGTGAATGAACTCACTGTTTTCTGCCTGTGTCTAGTGTGCACTCCAGTGGGATTGTCCAGGATGTTCACAGTCATGGGCCAGTTACTAGTAAAGCCAACAGTAAGTAATCATTCTGATGACCTATAAAAATATACATAGTGTAAATGATTTGCTCAATAAAAGACCAGTTGAACACATCCACTCTGACTTGGACCTGCTTTGGGCCTAATGGTCATTTACATTTGCGACAGAGGACTACAAATACATCACCAACTCATCCTCCCATCTGCCATCTCTCCAGCCCCACTTTGGGCCTAATTATTACCCATTTCATCTCTTCCTCCTCTGCTCCCTCCCCTTCAGATCCTGGAGGACCTGGATGAGCAGATTTACTGCATCCATTTGCAGGAGGAAGCCCTTCAGAGGAGATTAAACGGTATGTCTGTGGGAGACGTGTTGGCACATTATAGGGGAAGGGGGGGGGGGGTTTGACTGTCCTATTGGGTGTGATGGAGCATGCCACACTGGAATCAATTAGCATTGAGAATTCAGCCAGGCATGCACGCGCACACATGCACACAAAATGACATTCACAAAGACACACACACACACTAGACACCAGCCTTTGTCTACCACTGTTTTACTCTCATAACTTTCTGATTAAGGGCAAAGCAGCCATCATGACATGGACCATATTTTATGTGAAGGAAGTTTTTAAGCATCCATTTAAGACATTAAGGTGCCACTGTCACTGTTGGCGAAATGATTGCCTCATTTAATGTCAGGCCTAGAATGGTAGCCTGGGTAATAGGATGGAAATTAAATCTTTTACAAGAAGTTTTGGCTCAGTCCTGTGGACATTAAAGAGCAGCAACTTTTTTTAGTGACTTTTTTTTAAAAGAAACCAGGAGCCGTTGTGCTGTTTGTTCTCTGGACCGGGAACAAAGGGAATGTTTAAAGAGTTTAAGGATGGTGACGATTTTATTTTCTCAGCCTGCATTTCCTTTTCATGCACACATTCACAAATTCCTTGTTTGACGTTGAATTACTGAACTAGCAGGAAGTATTTGGGCCACGTTCCAAAACTTACTTTAATATTAACTCAAGCACGCAACCAAGTGTACAGATGCGAGTAAATGAAGAGGATGAGCGTCCTTTCAAACCAGGGAGGTAAGGGAGATCACTCGCTGATAACGCTTGTTTTCGAATGCTACGCCGGCCACTGCTATAGACTGCCACCTAAGCGTATGGTTCCTTAGGGCTCATTCCACACTGCAATGCTTTGAACTAAATGATAGAATAATTGTAATCTGTTCCTTATCATCCTCAAGTCTGTTTGATCTTTACAAGTTACTGTGAGGCAAAGAAAAACAGTGGTCAACATGTCCATGAGTGCACCGAGGCCAAGCTGCAATTCATTTTTTGTCCCGTTTAAAGAGGTGGGAATTAAAGGCAAAGGAGGATGTCGACATGAATGTTTTTATGCACACACTGTACGCACATGCACACACACTCAACGTCCATGCTCACACATAGGTGAAACTGAAGGCTAGAGTGGTGTTCCTTTTGATCTGCTGAGAACACTGACTAGGAGGCAGTTCAGGAACAGTTCACAGGACACACTCCAGAGGTGAGCAATGCCGTCTTCTTGCTTCACCTGTGTTCTCTCTCTGCATCCAGCTCCTCGAACAGATTATCCTCTTACACAGTTTGTGTTTGTAGATGCGGACGGTTGAGCCACATCAGTTGATGCAGTTGTTTATTTACACGTCTGAGCCTTTGTTGTACACCCTCTACGTGCGGTTGCCCATTTGTAATGACACAGTTTTAAATTGTGTATATCAGAAGGTTGTGGTTTAAACTGGCTGACTGGACATGTGTCTGTTTTCTTTGTGCAGAGCATGATGAACCTAATAAGTGAAATGTTCAGAAACATGCCCCTTCGAACATCTAGATAAGCTGCTTTTTTTTACATTTTGCTTATAAACTTGTGCAACAGTTTTTAACTACTTTAAAATGTAAATTAAAAATTGGGGGGTGCACATTTTTGGCAGATGTTGGAACTTTTTGACTTTCTAATATTGCGAGATAGAGCTTTTTTTCTTTCCTTTTTTTACATTGTCACTGATTTCCCTAGGGAATAATTCATGGAACTGGATGAATAAAATCGATTATATTTAACTGATATCTATAAGTGGGTGCAATTTGGTGCAGATTGATTGGATTTAAGGGGACTGTTGTGCCTTGGCAGAGATATGCGCTCCACTGAGTGCCATTGAATCTGTAATGATTGACATAAAAGGAGCTGGCAACAGTTTTGATAACTCAATCATTTATTAAAAAAAAAACATTTTGTGGTTCCAGTGACTCAGATGTAAACAACAAACACACTGAGATAGTGTGACAAAGTGAAGAATCTTCACTGAGACTTCAGACTTACTGAGGTACTAGTTTCTAATCCGATGCATTTCTTTATGACCTCACTGTTGCTTGTCTTTGCTCAATACTTAAAGAAGATTAATAATACACAAAGCCTCTAAAGATGGTATCAGGGATTTGATCTTAACGTAGTAAAGCATCTTTGAGATGAATTATCCCGACTGAAAGAACTTTGCTATGTACGTGTTTCAAATAATTCAGGCTGTGGGGATAAAAGGGGCTCATACCTAATTCCTGCAAGCTGTACCTAGTTAAATGACTGTAGGTATGATTACAACAGGCATTCTGGCTTACAATGTGTTCTGAAAGTACAATCTAATAACTCAAGTCTGCAAATACACTGCAGCACAGGCAGTGTGGCACACATTCTTTTCCACGCTGCCCTTTCAAGACCCTGATCTGCTGATATCAGAGCAACAGTGCGCCTGTCCAGATGCT